AGTGAAGAGGATGTTTGTCTGGACTATGCTTAACAAAGACGATTAGTATGCCTTCATGTTAGAAAGGTCTTTCCAGAAAGATGTGACCCAAAGGCGAGAAAGGCCTGCCTGTGTAAAGGATGACAATGAGCTAGAAACATGGCTAATGTGTTGATTGCCAAAGCCATCTTCCTCTGAGAGTCCTCACTCTTACAGGAGTACGCCTCAGGGCTACATAGCCTTCAGCATACCACTTAATCTGTTTCCATCTATGAAAAGTACTCCTTGAAAGTTTAATTCTCATTCTGGCCAAAAGAAATATATAATCTACTACGCTTATAAATTAAACTGCAAGATATACTAAAGCTACCGGGACTATAGGACGTGAGCAGTTAATGCTACTGGGAAGTGCAAAGAAGAAAAAGGCAACAGTCTTGTGCGCTTGAACTGTAGCTGGGCTGCAATAAGGATCTCTGGGAACTCACATGAGCAACAAGACTCTTTTAAAAAGAATTTCTACCTTTATTTAGTGTCTTGGGGTGAGGGAGGCTTGGTAGCACCTTTACTCACTGAACGGAACTGTCTTGCAGACACTTATGTGTCTTACAATTTCTTTTTTTGGTTTTTTGAGACAGGGTTTCTCTGTTGTAGCTTTGGAGTCTTTCCTGGAACTCGCTCTGGAGACCAGCCTGGCCTCTAACTCACAGAGATCTGCCTGCCTCTGCCTCCTAAGTGCTGGGATTAAAGGCGTGCGCCACCAACGCCCAGCAGTATTTCTTTATTTTAGGGAGATTAAAGTTATTTTATTAAATCATGCACATCACTTGTGTTAGTGCAAATAGTTTAATCTGTACTCCAGAAATTCTATTGTGCACTTTATCTTTACAAAATAGATTTCAAACAATTATTTACTTTAAAAAGGTAATTTTGAAGCTAAGAATTTCAGAACAGTATTTGCAATAACTATATGCAAAAGGTACTGGGGACCACTGGCACATTAGCATCATCCTTGGTGACACAGTGAGTTAGAGTCTAGCTTGGACTGTATAAGACCCATTTCACCCCCTCCCCCCAAACAGCAACAAAATTGATGACCTTCATTTCCTTTGTGAAGAACTTTCTTCCTAACTCCCAAGTAGCCAGTTTCTTTGAGAGTGGTCGGTGCAAACTCATTGCCTAACATTTACAGTTAAGATGTATCCAGTTGGTTCTTCTCAGTGTGCCCCTCACTGCGTCCCTTTCCCTTATTGTCTGGGCACCTAAACTTGAGTATTTCATGGCCAGGGACTTGGCTCAGTGGTAGAGTGCTTACC